GTTTGTTCATGTTAGTTAATATATTAACTAATGGAACCTTATTTTAAAGTGTTACCAATTATTTTTATTAAAACTTGAGGATATTTTTAGTGTTTTCTTTATGTTATATGAAGATCAAATTAAAACTTTTTGGGAAAGCATCACATGCCTTCATTATTTATTTTTGCTGTTTTTCAAATGCCCTTTTATGTACAGATTTTGTTGTTAGACCCTTGCTCAGACCCAGATTTCAATGCTGGTCAATTTAATTTCAAAAGGTTTAAAATGTAATTTCCATCGTAGAATGAATGATTGTTTGAGATGTGGTGGAAATGACACATTGATGCATGTAGTTCAACATTGTTAGCAGACTAGTTTGTACAGTGAGTTGTACATTCTTAAAGGCCACAGGGCCATAGAGTGCCCATAGTTGACGAAACATCCATATGTGTATAACTATATTAAATAAAATATTGAACCTCAGGTCTCCAGTGTATTGCATGTACAGCTAAAGGTCAGAAAGAAGGTGATGAGAGAGCATGTGTGTATGTGAAAGTGCAAGGAGAGGAAAGAGAAGGATGGATAAACAATCTGGGGTGGCACTTTGGCAAGCGGCAGTCACACAGGCTTGACAGGGCTAGAGAACAGTAGCCGTGGCAAACGGTACATCACTGCATTGCGTCTCATCAAAGTTGACAGGAGCGGGGGAAGGAAAAAAAGGGAAAAGAAGAAGCCTGTCTATTACATGCAAAGGCCCAAAACTTCTCACCTTGTCGAAGGAGCTGTCTCTCTCTAGCTTTTCAACTGCCATGTAAAAGGCTGGCTTGTATGTCAAAATTCTTTGAAAAGCTGAGAAGTGACTTCTCGTTGACGTCCATACCCTATAGATTAAAGCCGAGCGGAGAGCTCAGGAAGGTTGCTCTGGTCAAATATTATGACATCGAGGTTCAGATACAATCTCTGATGCCCCGCAATCTATTTTGAACCCCAGACAGCAGCTAATGAAGGCAGCAGACAGAACTCACAGCCTAGCTCGCTCTGCTTTTACAATGATCAAGAAGCGATCTGTTAGCTTAAAATTCTGAACTGGGAAATTGCACCCCTGGGATCCCAGAGCAAAGAGTGCAGTACAGGGAAGAGTCGTATTTATGATGCATTATGTGCTCCCAAGCCAGAACAAGGACAGAGCGGTAAGACAGTGAGTGATCCTGGTTAACGTTATGTTTTCATAACCGGCAATTTAATAAAACAAGTTCCATTTTGTGTATGCAAGGATATCCCAAGACTTTAGTGAATTTCTCACATGTAAAGACTGAAAAAGGAGCATGTGTCAACTCTCATGACGATGATTTTAATGACGATTCTCTTGCCCGACCATCTGACTGCCTGGCAATGAAATCCTAAAAAACCTGTGGTCAGGAGCCAAGAGTCTCTCTCTCTCTCTCTCTATTTCTCTCTCTCCCCTTTTGTCTAAAAACCAGTGGCTTTAGGCTTGGCCCTGTTTTAATGAGATTATCCAGAGTGAAGTGTCACTAAGTAGGATATAAAATGGAGGCCATTATCTGGCATTATTTCTGAGCAGCCTCCTCATCCATCTGCTTACCACCCACATAGTCACTACGGTGGGATTAGAACTCTGATTAGCAGGGGAGTGCTGCTTAAACACCTCTATGTCCTCTTTCTCTCTCCTCCTTTCTCTCTGGGCACTGTAAACAAAACAATAGCCCTTCTCACCCAGTGTTTCCAACTCCCAAATTGCCCTGAAACTGCGGTCTGACCTGATATAACTGCATCAAACAGACCTAAAGAAGCAATTATTTTAGTTTAAGACTTCATTTTTAATTTGATTTGTCCTTTTAAATATTCAACAGTGGAGTAAAAAGTTGCCATTTTTTGTGAAGATGTTTTTTTTTGTTGGTTTTGGACACACCTTCAAAATGCTGAATATTCTAAAATGACTAATTAATTTTATTTTTAACATTATTTTCATTCAATTATTATAATTTAGTTGGTATTATGTAATTTTTTTTAACATACAGTATTTAATATACACACAAATCATTAATGAATATATAATGCATTAATTATTTTGTGTGTGTGTGTGTGTGTGTGTGTGTGTGTGTGTATATATATATATATATATATATATATAGTCTATTCAGTTTTTTCTCAATGGCGATTAATTCTTGTAATTCATTTCATTAACATTTTTAATTAATTGACAGCTGAGTTAAAAGTTAATGACTCTTCCTCCCAAAGTTTTCCTTTTTTAACCTATAATGCCCAAGACATTGTGTCTCTTCTGTTTCCATTACACGCACAATTCATTATGCAAATCAAATGCAGTTTTCTTTTCTGTTTTTTTTTCTGTCCTTATTAGTACCTGTGATTTTGTCTCGAACCAGCTTGCAGGACTCAATCTCGCCAATGCTGCCGAAGAGGCTGCGGAACTCTTCCTGGGTCATGTTCTGGGGCAGGTAGTTGACAATGAGGTTTGTCTTGCTGTCGTCACTGGAGCCGCCGGTCTGCATTGGCGAGGGGCAGCTGCGGCTGTTGCTGGAGGGACCGTTGGCCATGGCAGAGTTCGGCCCGTTTGTCACCTGAGGCTCCATGTTGCTGATTATCTGCAGACAGAAGAAGGGTTAAAGGATGTGGCATTTGAAAAGTAAGCAGTTCAGTAAACAGCATATTTTAGCACTGACATATCTGATTTCCTATATATCAAGTACTTGATAACTTAAAGGAAATGTGTGGAAGTTACTGACATTGCAAATAAAGGGGTTGGAATAATCTAGTGTATGTAACTGCAACTGCAGCTATTAGCTGTGAAACCTCACAGACTGACTCTAAATAATACAATGCATGACACACTTACTGAAAAACTGTTTATGCATCTCTAGACTTTCAGTAGCTTTCTTCCACCCTCCCTCCCCCTCACTCTATCACTGATATTTTTTAGCTTGGCTGTGCATTTTGATGGTTGGCTCAACTTGACAGGGTAACAATGTGAGCCCTTCAGCATGGAGCGACTGTCATGGTGAACAGCATTTGCCACTGGTTTAGCCGTGCGCTTTTAAGAGCAGGTGTTTGAAGAGAAGCTTGCTGGCCCTGGGGAAGTAGGAACAGAGGAGGCCCCAATCTGTGCTGCTTTTCAGCCTCAAACTTTTTATTTCAAGATTGTTCCACACCGAAGCTAAATGTATTCACCCATTTGCATAAAGGATGTTTGTGTGTGAGCTCAAGTGTGTTTAATTTTGTCACCCGACTCTTTTTGAGGGGGCTGGGTGACATCTAGAATCGTGTCATATTCTGACTGTCAAGAAGGTTGAAGATACGAGTGTGAGTGAGCGTGTGTGAGAGAGAGCAGATTAGTGGGCATATCTTCATGGTTGCATGAAGCAACACTCCATGAGATCTTCTCAGGGGAAAAAACAACAGCTATTCGTGTCAGTCAGTGGTGCATGTTAAAAACTAATTTCGCTTTAGCTTTACACCTTTTATAACACTAGCCTGACCTTCTCCTAACCAGACGTGACTGACAAAGCAACACAATTTTTAAATTTTTTTATGTTTGGTAGCCCCACCCATGCCGAAATATTACTGGAACAAAATCTTGCTTCTTAATGCATATTAAACATGGAGGAGGAAAGACTGAAAGTCATAATGGCTATGGGTGATTTGTGTTTTCAGTTTTTTTTTTTTTTTGCATTCAGTGTATACAGAAAAATTGCAAGTTGCACAAATCTTGTCACATTAAGTCTGGTGTAATAACAGTACTGTGTGTATCAGTGTTTTAGGAAAATTCAATGAGGTCTTTCATTGTCAGACAAAAGTCTCAGACCAAAAATAAGATAGAAAACTCTAAAAATAAATAAGAATTAAAACAGCAAGCATGACCTGATTATAGCTCGTTCTAAGCTGATTCTGTAAGTCAACCATGTTTAATATTCATTTTCTCTTCCTCTCTGACTGGATGTGGCGTAATTCAGATCAAGATCTGCACTAAGAGGGTGAAGGAAAAGCGCTAATGTTTCCTGCTGATAGATTCAAGAGTGGAAAATAATAGAGATCTAAGCTGAAATTCAGCTGCACTTATTTTAACTCTTTAAGAAAAAATACTCTGTATCTGCACTCTGAAGTTCAACTCTCTTTTATCAAAGTGGGCATATTTAGAAAGGTTAACAATTTTTCCCCATCTTACACCACGGTAGTGTTTGCACTTGGGAGTATTTTTGAGAAACACACAGGCACAGTAAAGAGGATGCTAAAAACAAAGCTATTCAACTGCGTATGATACGAAGCCATAAAAATAGCTGCAGCATTTCTCTGCCCCCCTAAATAATCTTTAAAGTCAATGTGAAATCAAAACTGACCCTATTTACTTTCTTAATGCATGTTTGGGTCTTACTGAATGATTCATTGGTGTGTATGTATCCATGTACAGTATACTGTATATATGTTATATGTGTGTGTGTATTTATATATGTTTCACTCTGATTCTCTAAAATGGTTACAAAAAGGGCAGATGCAGTTGCATTCCCCCTTTTCTGGATCAACCGCTGTGCCTCCATTTTTAGTCTTTGTATATGTTAACATTTTTTCGATGTGACAAATAGAAAAAAAGCTGCTGGCAGCCCATAGGAGGCTCATCTGCAAAGCTCTCAGGATATGCATGTAAATGGATCCTGTTCCGTACTTCTCTGCGGCAAAAAGGGATGGAGCGACACAAAGGGACAAAATAGCCATAGCCACAGCAGGTCTTGATAGATGTGTGTGTGTGTGTGTGGTTATTTCTTGGTGTTTTCATGTGTGCATGAGTGAGGGGAGACTTATTAAGTATGTTTGCAGCTCCTGCTGTGCACTGTTCTTTCAGGGGGGAAAAAAAGAAATGCTCAAACCTCATGGGATGAGAGCTTTGAATATTCCAGAAAAGGAACAGATGAAAGTGGACACCTTTCATTCTGATTCCAGGGACCTGTTGTGTCTCGATGGCCAATTAAAGACCTGTCCTTCCATTGTGACACTAGCTCTTATATGCTGTCTTATTATTTTTCTGTAGCTGAACTCCCCTCGTTGTCATACTGAGAAGGGTAATTGTTCCTTTACACACTCACTATTGCTGGACATTCGCCCTAGCAGATTGGTCAGTTGGTCCCTCCAACTCCAACAATATTTTTCCCTCCTTTGCTTAACTACTATTCCTGAATAGTTAAAGATTAGATTTGAATGTAAAATTGGCCATTAAAAATAACCAACCAACTAAACAAAACAAGGAAACTCTTTGCTTTGTGTTGCCTAGAAATCTGTCAATAATTAATCAGGAGGGAGTTTCAAGAGTGCTGATATACAACACTGGGACTTTTTGCTGTATGTGAGGATTTTTTAAATGACTCTTTCTTTCGGTTACATCATTGTGCCAGTAGATGGCAATAAGAATTGATTGTCTTAATGAGTGATTCACTGAGGCAACTGAGTCATTGTATCATTCACTCAAGTGATTTGTTCAAAAAGTTGTTCTGTTAAAGAACTATTAAAATATTATATATATTAAAATAGGCTACTATACATTTATAATACATATTTTTTATATAAATTAATTTTTTAAAAACATTTTTCAAACTAAATTCATGTGTCATTCTTTCTGTAGAATATACAGTCCCTGAAATGTGAACCCCTGTTAAATTGTGCATTTTATCTCAGGTTGTATTCTTTATTGACCAACTGACCAATCAGCATCTACAACTTGAACGATCAGCTTTACTACACTTAATGTGTGAAGTAGAATAGCTTTTAGGCCTGTCAACAAACTCGTAAAAGGGCAGAAAGCATTAGCTAAAAAAAAGGGCAGTCTGCTTCCAAGACTCTCCTTTTTTTTCCCATTTACAGCAAGGTTTGACAAGTTAGCATGGGCCATTTAGCGTGGGGGTCACATGCTAGCTGAACAACTGCTATTGATATTAATGAGAATGCTAACAGATAGCTTTCTCCAGGTTTTGCAGAGCCTAGGGCTGTCACAGAAACAGATGTGATTTCTCAGAATACCTATTTCAGTGATATCGGTCAAGTGGTAGGGGCATTTAATGGGTGTCATTAAAAAAATGTGTATACAGCACCTTTAACTGGGATAGTACAATAACCGTTTGTTGTTTGGATGCTAGCTAAGGCAGAGCCTAGCTGGCTGTATCTGTTTGTGCTGTAGCTGTAGTAGGCAGGGAGACAGACAGACAGGCAAGGCGAGCAGACAGGCAGACATGCTAAGCCATCACAAAGGCCTTGGTGTCAGCCGAGGGGACAGACATCATCTTCCCTTTGATTCAACTGAACAGTAGCCCCAGATTACACTCCTTTATTTTTTCAAACGCAATGGCAGATATGCCGACTGTTTCTGAACGCTGCTCGGCCCGGATCCCGGCTGAGTATGTGTGTGTGTGTGTGTGTGAATGCAGGAAGGAAGAAGCTCTGCCACTCTGTCTTACATAAGTGCCTTAGAGGATGTCAGGACGGGGATAAAAATACAGGTTCAACCAGTCCAATGTCCCTGAGTCACGCAGAGCCAGAGGTGTGTGTTTGTGTGTTCACAGCACTGCAGATAGATGCATTTCGGTGTGTGTCGCTGATACCTGCCATTTCAACATGGCACTTTAATGGCCTTATTAGCTAAGATGATAAAATGTCAGGCTTCTATTCTGATGTGTGTTTTTACTGTTAATGCTCTCCAGTTATTACCAGAGCCTTCTGATATTAGTGCTCCCTCCTATAGATGTCTGCTCTTATTTATGTGGCCCTGTAATTGCTAAATCTACGAGAAAACAACACTGGTAATGATCTTCAGGTTCAAGTAAAAGAGAATTTTTTTCTTGCAGTCCAAATGCAAAATATATATAATTATATATATATTGTTTGTTGACATATATTATATATTTTTCCATACTAATTTTCCATACTAAAGTGATTCCTTCAGCATATATGCATTTTTTTTTTCTAATAGCATAAGACACTGCATTCACAGACATTATACATATTGACAATACAACATCCATCCATAATATGTTATCAGGTAACACCACTAATAACAATTACAGTAATAATACTAATAATAAGTTTCATTTAAAACGTATTATTACGCCTGTTTCACTCTACCCCTGCGCACAGCCTCCCTCTCATAGCACAACTTCATAGCAACAATATGGCTATTAATGGGGGTAAAAATGGCGGTTAGTGGGCAGCAGTCTCCTTACCATCTTTGGCTGTGTCAGCAGTCCCTTCTCAGCCCAGCCCTGGAGCTGCGGCAGGTCTGCCTGACGCCACTGAGTCTCTGTCGATCCCTACGGGAGGGGGGCAGGGTCAATATTTAAACATGCCCATTTTCTCCATACCAAACAAACACTCCTGACGGTCTCCAGGCACACTAAAACACACAGGTGGCTTTGATTTGGACTCGAAAGACAAAATAGTTTGAATTTAGTTGGGTTTTATATATGCTATAATGGAAATGGGTGCTCTAGGTGCATGCGGAGAACGGGTGATATATAGAATCGCCTATTTACTGACGAAACTGAAGAATTTTTTCACACTCCAGGCCGTAGACAAATTTGTGTAGGATATAGAAACTTCAAGTTGTGAAAAACAGCAAGCCTCCGACTGTAGATTTAATTTCTTGGGTTCGCCGACAAATCCAGCTTCGTAAACAAGACCTTAGAGGACCAATACAGAGGCTGCCACAATCACAGCTTGAGCCATGGAGCTAACAGCGAAAACAGCCAATTTAGGAAAAGAGGGAGACTCTGAGCATGGCCTTTCCGTTGGATGGATGGAATAGAGGAGGAATGTAATGGGAGGCATCTGGCATTACATGATGGAGGAGACACTTATGCATCGGAAGGGACGGAGGGGGGCTGGGGGAAGGGGCTTGGCGTCCTTTGCAGATCTTTAAAACGTTTGTGCAAGCGGCCAGGTGTCGGGATCTAGAGAAAAATGGACTGTCAGCGAAGGAGGGAGAGAAGAGAGTGAAGGGGTGGGCAGGTGGATTGCTGACAGCTCTTGGTGTTGTGTTATCTGGGGCATGGGTCTGTAATTTAAAAAAGAACCTCATGGGATTTTTTGTTTTGTTTTTTAATCTCATGTGCCACCTTGGTTTTAGTTTTAGTGAGGACCGCAGGGTGTAACAAAACACATTTATTGTTCTGGTGATGAAACATCAGTGTACATTCAGCTTAAAGGTGATGTGTATTTGTTCTCTAATGAAACAACATATCTGCATGAACCAGTCCAGACCTTTAGATCCACATGCTGAATCGTTCAAAAAATAAGAAGCAGGATGACACAGCCAAATGATGCATCAGAATTGTATTTGGTGCATCATTCACAGGAAGGTTTAAAAAGTGCTCGCTGTTACTCTGGTTACAGAGGACAGATCAATGTCCGCGGGTGACAGAAGGGAGAGGACAGACTATAAATGAATTCATCTTCTGTTTTCACTGACCTTTTCTCAAAGCTCACAGGAATCAAAAACGGAATACGTAATAATGGAGAAATAGCTTTTTGTTCTCTTTCTCTTTCTGTCTTATTTTCTCTCTCTTCCTTCTTTTTCTCTGTTTCTTTTGTTGAGAAAATAAAACTACTCAAACTACTGTTGTTCATAGCAATTAAACAATGTCAGCAAATGTAAATTAAATTAACGTTTGTTTCTTTAAATCATTTGTCAGATGTGCTACAGAAGCTACAGTTTGCAGGACGTAAGGTAAGTTATCTGAAGGCTTTTCTCTTGATATATTTACTTAGATTAACTCTTTGACTCTCTCTCTTTCACACACACGCACTAAATGTAGATGCTCAAAAATATACTGATGAGAAAGAATCACTTGATAATCTGCCATTTTCTTCTTCTACAAAATATCTACCAATATTAAATACCCCATGAAATCCAAATGAGAGTTTTACGACTTTAGTCTATGTACTCTATGTTTGCTTTGAGGCCATCTATATGCTAATGTTCTCCTAAACATTGACTAAATGAATTTTAGCAGATATACACATTTAAAAATATCTTTCTCTTCAGGAAAAATGGACTGATAATGTTTATGATATAACATGTTATAAAACATTCCTGTTTTCTGTTTAGGCTAATACGTTAACACATGACAGAAAACTGCAGTCGACGAATGGCTTCATGGGGTTTTTAAAAACGGAAGAAAACTGAATCTCGTATTAGCTTAGCATACGTCCGCAATTACCTTAACCACAGTAGCCAAGTCAAAAATAAATAAGTAAATACAGTAAATAAAATAAAACAGAGATGTCACCTCACCCTCTGAAATTAAAAAAATAATCTCCCACTCTTTTCTTTTCTGCTCATGTGATGGTCAATAGATCAGCCACTTCATCCACGGCAGAACGTTATTGGTCAAACAACCCGTACTTAACCCCAAACAGGAACCACAATGGACTCGGAAGCATCTTGCACAATCATTTCCACGCGCATACAGCCTGTATCACTCAACCTTGCGGCAGATAATTGACATCACAGAGGCGCTGTTAAAACTAAGAGTGCTTGCCACAAAATGGAGGTCACCTTCAGCAGCTATATATACTGTATGTGAATGTATGATCTTGCTGTTTTTGCCACACACACTCATGGGGTTCAAAGCCAAGGAAAGGAGGATTTCATCTTTTTCTTCCACTATATTTTCTGTTTACTCATACCTCTCAGGTAGATGTTGCTGGGGAATAACCTTTTCCTTCATTCATTTTTTTTTAGCTCCTTTTACAAAACAGCATGACTCTGGTAAGTAACCCTAGACTAAATCTACTAAAAAATTCTCAGATTGAGAAATAAATAAATTTGTACTTAATAGAGTCTCTGGGCGGAGGGTACAAGTCTCCTTAATGTTCACAGCGGTGGCTGCACTTGCCCGAGATTCCAACCCTCCTGTGCACTGAACTGCTGGAGGGGATGTGAGCTGTCAGAACCCATTCAGGTACGCAGCTTCATACATTTCTTGTATCTTAACGTCAGGTCAGTAAAGTTCTCTCTGTGTATTGATTTTTATTTTTCTCTCCCCGTGTTTTGCGTGGGCTCCCCTCCTCAGTGGGACAGCTCCTCCAGAACCCTCGGGTCAGACTGCCACTCCGGCAGATCAATCAGGGCAGTAATGTGGGACGGCATGCGCCAAGACTGCTCCGCTCCGTCACTATTGATCCACATCTACTTTACCAAATAGAGTTTTTCTTCTCCGCCCTCCCTCCCTTCTCTCATTGAGTACCTCTCTCGCCCTCTTATTCTTCCTCTGAGGGACTTCGAATAATAAATGCCTCAGTATAAAAGCAATTTTTCATTTAACTTTTGCTTGACACATTTTCTTCTTCCCTCTCTAGATGAAGTCTGGTTTTATGTTATGCCAGATCGATAGAGACTTTCCAGGCGGTTCTCCCATAATTTCTATGCCTTTCTTCCCTGGGTGATGGTGATGGGCAGTGCTGGATTGGTAATCGGGCATACCGGGCATTTTCCCGGTGGGCCGACGCAAGATTGCTTCACTCCAACTTCTTCCTCGTCGGCTTTTCCCACGTTTTCACAAAAGATTTATCAAGAACAGGCTTGCTCTGTGGTGAGTGATGCTGGCCAAAAAGCCAGGCAGGAGGAGGAGAGGAGAGTAGTTGAATCGGTAAAGTGCTTGATAGGGACTCGCAACGGAGGCAGACATCTAACCTATCCTAATGTATGGGCCTGGTTCAGCCAGGATGTTAGCGGATAGCAGAGGACCACACCCTGATCACATTACCCCGCCATTAGAGCAAGCCTCATTTGATCAGTAATGAAGGCTGCTGTTCATTTGGCTCATGCCTTGTGTTCTTTCTTGGCGTCTGTTTCTCAGAGATGGGTTCCTTGCTACCGTCTAAGAGTCCAATGAATATCTCAGAGGAATTACTCTCTGACCTTTTGCTGTTCAAAGGCGGGATTCGCTTCCTGGGGTGACTCAGGGTGACTATTTAATGACAGGTCTGAGGAGTAATAGGGGAGGCTGAATACAGGCCACTGCAGAAACATAAACACCCGAATGCTGAAAGCCATGATCGCAGGGATTCACAAATTTATGATGCTTGAGCAGTTTTATGTTAATAAGGAATTAGGATTTAAAAGAGAAATATTTCTAAGCAGTTCAGTTTTAGGTCAGCACATTGTAAATACATTTAAAATGTTAATAAGTGATTTTCCTAGCTTCGGAGGATAGCCTACAAGATATAATAAAGCTGTTTTAACACTATCCAGCTTTTTTTTTTAGAATGTCAAAATTGAAATAATTTAAGCTCAAAAAAAAAAAAATGTCTCACTTAAATGCCTGGATGATGGAAAGATGATTGATTGTCTGAGGGTTTAATTGCTTGAAACCATAATCAGAGATATTAAATAATGAAAAATACATGAATACAGATTGACACAGCGAGCACTTGAAGTAAGGTAAAACATTTTGGCTCTAGATTCTTCTAGAAATTGAAGTGTTCATGTAAATTTCATGGAAAAATCTTGTAAGAAAAGAATGGAAGGAAAAGGAGGAGATGAAAGGAAAAGAACTGGAAGGATGATAAGAGGCGAAAAAGAAGGAGAACATGTGAGGGTGTATGCAGCATCAGTGACACAGGCTGTGTTTTTCCTTTGGGCTACGGGTCTGGTGAAACACCTGTGTCTCTCCCTACCCACTCTCTCCAAATCTCGCAACGTTGACCTCATCAGCTGACCCCACTCTCTTTCTCTCACACTCTCTCTATCCACCATCGCTCCTTTGCAGTCCCCATATTAAAACGGATTTAACGGGTGCATATTTGGTGGATGTGTCTTTAAAATCCCTCAGATCTGTGTTATGAAACACATTTTATGTGCAGGGTGATGATCAAAGTGAGACAGGGGAGTTCTTTGGGTGTGCGCGCGTGTTGTCCTTGTCAGTCAACTAGCCTCGGACCACGAGTTGATTGTCAGTGACAGGCTCAGAGATACACTGCCCACCCCCACAAGCGCTTTCTCTCTCACATACCCTTCCGCTCGCTCTATCTAACCATCTAACCCCTACACATATTATGGATATTGCACTAGTGCCTCCCACCATCGGGAGACTTCTGCATTACAATAAAAGTGACCTTGCCATGTCTGCATGAGGAAATTTCAGAGCAACACTAGGAGTGGGTGGTATGGCCAAAGTATTACATCAAGGTATGAGTAATTTTAAATCATATAATGGTATATATAGGTGCATCTCAATAAATTAGAATGTCGTGGAAAAGTTCATTTATTTCAGTAATTCAACTCAAATTGTGAAACTCGTGTATTAAA